GATGGCAGGCCTGACCCTTTGATCCAGTGGGCCTGAACCAGGTGACGGGCTGAGGGCCTGATCCAGCCTCTCGGCTCTTATAGGAGTAAAGTGATCCGGAAAGTGTTGTGTTTATTTAACATGTTTATTCACAAATCCAGCCTCGTGCCTTTGGATGGACGTGTCTGGTTAAGGAAGGCAAGGCCCAGGTGGAGCCCAGGTGGAGGCTGTGGAAGCAGCAACACCTGCAAAGTCCACCTGGCAGGAGGAGGCCGGGGAGGGAGGGGTCGCTACTTCGGGAGCCAATTACCGCTGTCTCCTTTGAACTTGGAGCGGTTCTTCCACCACAGCAGCTGTTTTCGCACTCAGAGCCCAGGAGACCCATTAAAAGAATCTAAAGTTTCTTTGAGGCCCGAGGAGAGGAGATGTCCAGGGCTCTCATTACTTGGCTGTCTTGCCCGACTCTCTGGCGGTGGCCACCTCGGTCCAGCAGGCGCCCAAGGGACACGGGCAATTAACTGTTGCAGGAGACCAGCAACCCCCCGACCTCTCCTGGGGGGTCCCACTTGCTGGCCTCAAGGGGTCCCTCTGCCGCCAAGACCGTCCCCGGAGGCGGCCGTCCAGGAGACCAGAAGGACGACGCATGCAATGACCTTGTTTTCTGCATCATCCATCCAAGTGAGATGAGCCGCTTCTAAATGAATCGAGGGGCTCCCTTAGGGGAAGGGGCCTCTGTCTCCCCACTCCCCCCCCCTTGGCTCTTTGCAGCCCCGGGAAGGCTCTGGGCAGGCTCTGCAGCCACCCCCACCCCTCCCAGCTCCTCCCAGGAGGATGGCAGATCTTCTGGGCAGCCGCCAGCCGGACTCTCCGCGTGAGGGAGCCCTTTCCGTGGACAAAACCAGCGCGGCTTTCCTTCTCATCGCTACCAGGCTGAAAGCAGGGAGTTTGCCAAGCCCCCCTCCCCAATTGTTCTGATAGGAGTCTCCTCCACACCTCCAGAGCTGTCAGTCAAGTGAGAATGTACAAAGACGCAGCAATAGGTCATGTTTCAGATATAAATAAGCAGAATTAGAGAGTAGAAGCCATTTGTCTGTGTGTGGCTTTGTGAGCAATGCAGATCATTTGTACAATATACCTCTCCATGCCCTATTACATCTATGTGTCCATTTCTCTCTCTCTCTATCTCCTTCCTTCCTTCCTTCCTTCCTTCCTTCCTTCCTTCCTTCCGTGTTTATAAGCACACAGGGTGCCATACTAAAAAACTCTTGGGTGGCACTTACAAAATTGACAAAATTTCCATCTGTCAACTGCAGAACTGCTTAGATCAACATAACAGACTATGCCAGTGCATTAAAACACCTCAAGGTTGATTTTTTTAAAAAAACCCTCAATGTGAATGAAGACCAACACAAATCAAAGAACCGACAGTTGTGATTTATTTAAATAACACCAACAATAAAAACAATCCAGAAAAAGAAATGTATCAAAAATTACAAAAGATATACAGCTATGCCTGTTAACAAGAAACAAAATAAAAAAGCAGAAAAATGGAAGAATATCACAAATTGCTCAAAAGTCAAGCAAACTTACATCAATGGAAGAATCAAACAATAATCTTTCTGTAACATCCCAATGTATGAACTCAACTGGAAGGGGATTGAGGGGGGGGGGGAGAGCAAGCGGGGGGGGGGGGGGGGGGGGGGGGGTGGTTATGCTTGTTATCTAGCATGCCAGGTGCACCCTTACCCCCCCACCCCCCCGATGGATGGTCCCTCCCACTGGTCAGGCACAGGGGGGCTGCCACATCCGCCCTCAGGCCACCTGGCCAAGTGGGTGAGAAATGTCCGACTCCACCACTCCCTCAGCCCCCACGACTCCCACCCTAAGGGGAGACCCCTGATCCCCCCAGGGGCCCCTGAGATTACCTGGCTGTCCGCAGACCAAGTCTGGGGCCCAACCTGTGGCTCCAGTCGGGCTCTTTGGCCCCCCGGCCCCACCCTTCCGTTGCTACCGCACACCAGGCTCTGGAGGGCCATGAGCTTCTGCCTGCCCCGAGACCCCCACCCCGGCTTCTCTCTCCCCTCTTCTCCTCTCGTCCTGCAGGAGGCTCGGCTCCCGGCTCCTGTTCTGGCCAGACCCTCTGCCCCCACCGCCTCTCAGCCTCGGCCTGGGGCTCTGGGGCTTTGAGTGCAGGTCTCATCCCGGAGTCCTGGAGCTTCTCCACTCCTCCATTTCCCTCCAGGACACCTCAGCCACCTGGGGCCATGAGGCCTCCAGCTCAGCCTCCAGCCTCGCCACCGATGGTCCTGGGGTGGTCTATAAAGTGGGGGCTCCCGAGGGGAAGGTAGGGCTCACCTGTTGCCGGGCATACTAGGTGGGTAGTCAAAGGAAGGGAGGGAATGTCTCTCAAGAGGGTGAGAGGCCACCCCCACTCCTGAGCTCCAGATACGGGGAGAAAGGGTCGGTAAGTCTGTCTAGGTCCTGGTGGCTGAGGACTGCCAGGAGCGTTTCGGCAGTGAAGGAGGGGGTTGCAGAAACGGGCGTAGGCCAAGACCAGCCCAAGGAATAGGAAGCCGCCAAAGAGCAGCCGAAGCGGGATTTGGGCTGCCCCCCAGAAGCAACCCAGAGCCGCCCTGGCCTCTGACCCGTCACCTGCCTCAGCTCGGCCTCTGCGATTTCAGGGAGCCTCTGGTTCTCCTGGGCCGCCCTCCAGAACACGGTTTGCGGCACACCGATCTCCTGCCGGTCTTGGATCGGGCTTCTCCTGGTGGAGCTGAGCTATGGGGTTGAGCATGGGAGGGACCAGGAAGTAAACGTTGGGTATGGACACACAGAACAGGAAGGGGCAGCCCAGCCGCCTTCTGCTTGGGATCAGCAGGACAGGCCGATATGGATCAACTTGAGATGGGATGGAGGGCAGGTCTGAAGAGGGGAGATTGGCGCAAACCAGAGGGAGGGTCTTCCCAGCCTAGAGGAGAAATGGGGACGCCTTGTTTCCTGAGTCAAGCTATCGCTGCTGGCGGGGAAGGAGCTGCATGGTGGCTTCCGAGGGGAAAAGAGAGCTCTGTCAACCAGGAGGCTTCTTGAGGGAGGTCAAGGAGAACATCTAAGCAGGCCGTGAAGCACAACCAGGGGTGGGATTCTACCGGTTCGCACCTATTCGCTAGAACCGGTTGTTAACATTCTGAGCAGTTCGGAGAACCGGTTGTAAGAAGAAATTACAGGGCTAATCCTGTAAGGATGGCAGGAAGGAAACATTCTGGTGTTGCTTACAGAAACTGCCTCTCTGTTAACACTTATTACATTCTTGGCAGGACTAGACTTCCTGTCTCAGGAACTTCTCTGGAGGTTTTTTCCCCTCCTTTGCTGGCACTTTGCTTGTGTGGGCTGACCATTTAAAGTTATATGGCACTGAAAAAAGTGACTTATGACCGTTTTTCACACTTACAACTGTTGCAGCATCTCCACAGTCGTGAGAGGCCAGGCGAGGAGATGCGTGCCTCGATGGGAGTGATGTTGAGTTGGCCACGCCCAGCCAGTCACATGACCACCAAGCCACACCCACCAACTAAGCCACGCCCACAGAACAGGTTGTTAAAAAAATTGTATCCCACCTCTGATCACAACGATTGGTTTCGCGTGTAGCTGGTTTATGGACCTTCCTGCTGACAGAGCAGGAAGGGAATTAGCTATTTTGCTATCTGGTAAAGTATCTGTGTGAGGGACAGAGGCTCCAGGGATGAGTCCGTGACTGTCAGGCGCAAGAAACCAAGAGACCAGGCAGTTCAAAGGAAATACAAGTTTTAAAAAGTAAATTTTATTGATTTTCTATTGATTACATTCCTTAGTGCTTAATAAACATCGTGCTGTCTGGATATTTAATTTGTTAACCATTCAAATGCCATTCGTCCTCTCCACTCTTTTTTTTTCCAACCATGGGTTAAATAAGTTCTCTTGTCACATTTTTCTGATATCTTTCCTAATAAAAACAGCTCAGGTTTAAAATCTGCATGTTTCCCTATGAGCTTCTCTAGCCGTCTATGCATTTTTGCCCAATTATTTTTTGGTTTTAGCACAAGGCCACCACATATGATAAAACGTGCCTGACTTTTGAATACATTTCCAACATTTGCTAGACATATTTTTAAACATATTATCTAACTTAGGTGGTAAATGCCATCTATAAAATATTTTATAGAATAGAATAGAATAGGAGAGAATAGAATAGAATAGAATAGCATAGACTAGAATAGAATAGAATAAGAATTAGAATTCTTTATTGGCCAAGTGTGATTGGACACACAAGGAATTTATCTTGGTGCAAATGCTCTCAGTGTCCATAAAAGAAAAAAGACATTTGTCAAGAGTCAGGAATCATCAGGTAAAACACTCAATGATAGTCATAGGGTACAATAAGCAATCAAATCATACTAGGAAACAGTCAATATAAATCGTAAGGATACAAGCGACAAAGTTAACAGTCATACAGTCACAAGTGGGAGGGGATGAGTGATAAGGAGTGATGAGAAGATTAATAGTAATAGTAATGCAGACTTTGTAAATAGTTGGACAGCGTTGAGGGAATTATTTGTTTAGCAGAGTGATGGCTTTGGGGGGAAAACTAAATTTTCTTTATAAGAAGAAATGAATACAGGTTTAATATACGGTCACACTTTCTACAAGAATCTGACCTAATAAAGGTCAAAGCCAACAGGCAGTAGATAGAAGTCAATGGAATTCAAGGCGGGCTGGACTTGGATCTCTTGTGGGCTCGAAAGGACTACAAACTGATGACACTCTTGACTCTTCCTTCCCTCGGACCCAGCCAGGTCATCTCCTATAACGGCCTAATTAAACCACTCCCTATTAGGAGATGGTCTAGAACAATAGATGACCATTGTACCCACAACCATTCCTTCAATGAATGTATTTGCATCCACGTTGAACAGAAAGACCGAAGGACACCACATTTCCTAATTTCCCACAGAACTATTATGGGTTGGCTTGGATTCTGCTCAGAGCTACACTTTCCTCCTCTGCAAGCCCATGGCCCTCAGCACCCGCACACGGATCTCCTTGGTCTTGGCCCCATAAACCATGGGGTTGAGCATGGAAGGGACTAGCAAATAGACATTGGCCAGGAAGATGTGGATGCTGTGGTGGATGTTGTGCCCAAAGCGGTGAGAGAGGAAGGAGAACAGTCCAGGGGTGTACAGGATGAAGATGACCCCCACGTGGGCCCCACACGTGCCCAGGGCTTTGTGGCGAGCCTCCAAGGAAGGCAGGCGGAAGACGGTCCGTAGAATCAGCCCGTAGGAGACGAAGATGAAGGTCAGGTCGCCGCCGGTGATGAGGAGGGATACAACCAGCCCATAGAGGTTGTTGGGAGTGGTGTTCCCACATGCTAGTTTTACAAGAGCCATATGCTCACAATACGTATGAGAGATATTTCGGGAATGACAGAATCTCAGCCTCAGCAGAAGTAAAGGAATGGGTAGGACAATCACGATGGCCCGGATAACCACGGCTGCTCCGAATTTGACCACCATCCTTGGGGTCAGCAGGGTTGTATAGTTGAGGGGGTTGCAGATGGCCACGTATCGGTCGTAGGCCATGGTGGTGAGTGTCCCAGATTCCACGACAGAGAGGCCGTGCACCATGAACATCTGCACCAGGCAGGCAGCGGGTGTGATCTCTTGGGCGTTGGCCCAGAAGATGCCCAGCATCTTGGGCAGGATACAGGTGGGCATGGCCATGTCGGTGAGTGCCAGGAAGGAGAGGAAGAGGTACATGGGCTGGTGCAGGCTGGACTCCGTCCAGATGACCCAGAGCAGGGTGGCATTTCCCAAGAGAGCCAAGGCGTAGATGAAGCAGACGGGAACGGAGAGCCAGGCCTGGACCCTCTCCAGCCCTAGGAGGAGGAAGGAGGTGGGAGGGGCGTAGACACTGAGGTTGGCACTCACTCCCGGCATAGCCAACCTCGTGAAATAAGCCGGAGGCTTGTCTCTCCGGCCTGCCTGGTCTTCTTACTTCTTAAATATTTTGAGACAATCTGCTGGGTCTAAAAGTTGCCTGACTTCCCGCCCCACCAATTGACCTGCAGTTTCTTTGGATAATGTCTCCTTCTCCCAAGTCATGGGACCTTCTGGTGCTTCTTCCAGTTAGAGAGTCATTTTCCTGCCTCTGGAGGTTGAAGTGGGTGTTCCTCTCCGGGAAACGAAGAACGTGAGTAATCCCACTCCGAGCTTCGTGGTGCGGAGCCTAAGAATAGCAGACTTTCCATAACTCAGTTCCTCGTGAGGAACAATGGGGGGATTTCCTTGCTGCACCCAGCTGAGGCTCCCGTTTTGGAATCCAGGGTTTCCCTCGCTCCCAGGCCTTGCTAGTCCCTTCTCAAAAAGGAGAAAGAGTCGTCCTGGCCCCGCTGCCTGCAAGAGAAGAACCGCACCGAAAAGGACAGAGGAAGGGAGCAGAGCTCAGCCGCTTTAGACGGCGTGAAGGATCACCAGTGAGACGAGTGGTCCCACCACCGCTTCTTCCCCGGGAGGCTCCTGTTTGGGGTTCCAGTCAGCCGACCCACAGTTCCTCTTCCAGAGCCTTCCGTGTGTTTCTAAAGGGGTTCAAAGAGGAGATTCGGTAGCCATTTGCTGAAAGGGGGTATAGGGTCTCCTTCTGGGGTGGGAGGTGGGAGTCAAGGGCCTCCAGGGTCCTCGCTTCCTTCTCTGTTCTTCTGCTTCGTTATTCTGCCACTTTCCCTGTGATCAGGTGTCTCCATCCCAAAGAAAGTCTGGACTGATAGAGGACCTCCAAGGTCCCTTCCAACCCTATTATTATCCTATCTACATTAGCTCTCTCCCCTCATTTCATCCCTTTTCATCATGTTGACTTGCCAAGATCAGAAGTCTGCACATTATGGCGTTTCTCCAAGGTTAAGAATAGAATGGAACAGAACAGAACAGAATAAAATAGAGTAGAGTAGAGTAGAGTAGAGTAGAGTAGAGTAGAGTAGAGTAGAGTAGAG